AGTTTTTAGTTTTAGTATATCCCTTTAAGTACTAATTCTTAAATAACTTTTTAAAGTAAGTTAATAATAAAGTCTTGGTTAGTTCTCTAAGGTAAGTAGCTAATAAAGTTTTTAATAAAAAAGGTATAGCTATTAAGTTACTATAATAAGTAAATAATAAAGCTACTAGCATGGTAACCTGGGTATATAAGGCACTAGTATTTAAATTAATATAATATATTTATAATTATAATTAAAAAGCAGGAGTAAACTAAGCTAAAAAGGTTTTATATTAATTTTATAGCTATTTATTAGGCCCTTATTAGCACTAATTATTAAAGTTTTTTTAATCTTTATTTTTATTATTTTTTATAGGATATTTATTTCTTTTAAATCCCTGGGTAGCTTAATTAAAAACTAGTTAATTTTATAGTTTTTATTAATAAACTAGCGGCCAAGGTATTATTTATAGTGGTAAAGGTAAAGGTTAAAGTAATTAAAGCGGTTAAATATAATTTAGTTATGCCTAATATACTTAAATACATGGTTAGGGCGCGGCCATTTACCTTTAAAAGTATTAATTAACTTAATAAAAATTATAACAGGGTTTTTTAAGTTTTAATAGTCTATTTTTTTGCTTATTATCACGGGCTTTAATAATATCTCTTTAAATACTAAATTTAAAGTTAAGAATATTTAGGAAATCCGCTACCGTGGTACAGCGTGTTAGTTTATTAATTTTTTAATATAATATACTATTTAACTTACTTTAAGCCAGGGTTAGTTAGTTAAATATATTATTAATATTTATTAATTTTATATTTTTTAAAAACTTTTATATAAAAAAGCAAGGGGTTTTCCTAGCTTGAATATTAGTAAAACTATAGCTTATTTTTTAAAAATAAGTTATTACCTTAATTAATTAAAGTTTAAAATACTTAATAAGCTTAGCAACCTATCCCTATTTTAAAAAAAAGTTATATAACTTTTATTTATTCACGCGGGATAGCTTGGTAATATATTATTTTAAAATAATACCTTTTAAATAATTATAAATATTAACTTTTATTATTACTTCTTTCTTAAGAATTACTATATTAAGAATATAGTTTATAAAGGTATATATATTCTTATAAAATATCTTTAACCCATGCTTTTTTATTAATAAATTTTTATTATTAACTTTATTAGGCTAAAAGTAATTAATATTTTTTATTTTTTAATAGTATCTTTCTAGCGCAGCTTTAGCGGGCTAAGGCTTTTTTTTTTAAAAAACTAGTTTTAGTTTATTAGCTAGTAAAATAAATCCACCCCTTTTATATTTATGCCCCCTCTTCTTTTTCTAGTTTTAGTAAAAAAAATCTAGGGGTTTTAGTTTTAAATTTTATTTTTAAGGCGCTTAAAAATAAGCTTTTAGCCTTTTAAAATAGGGTTTTAGCTATTAAACTAGGCTAGGGACTTTATATATATTTTTAAGATTTTATTTATATATATTTTTTAATTCCTGCGTCCTGTTAGTTTAATTATTTTTTTAAAAATTTTTAAAGTTTTTTTTTAAAGATTTTTTAAAGGCGGCTTGCCTATTATTAATAATTTTTAAATAGCTATTTAATTCTTGTTATAAAATTAATTTAAAGTTTTTATTTACCTATTAGGGACCTATATTAAAAGGTTAGTAATTTACTTATTAAAGGCCGGGATTAAAAGGTTATTAATTTACCTATTATAGACCGGGATTAAAAGGTTATTAATTTACCTGTTATAGGCCGGGATTAAAAGGTTATTAAAAATATTAAGGCTATTAAAAATCTAAATTTATATAGGAGTTTATATTACAAACTTAAGAACTAGAGCTATTAATATTAATATTAATTATACTGTTTTTTTTTATAATTAATAAAATAAAAAAACGCCTAAATTTTATAATTAGCTTTATAAAACGCCTAGGTTTAGTAATTAACTTTACTACTACTTATTTTAAATAATGCTATAAATAGTGGCTAGTAATTAGTTAAGTTTATTAGCTTGCTAATTTATAAGCTACTAAAGTATTTAGCTATTACCTAGTAAGTTTAGTTAAAAATATAAATAAGCTAGTAATTTACTAAGGGGTAAATAATCTAGGCTAAGAAGTAATAAAAAAAGTAAATAAACCTATAAATAGTCTAAAAAATAAAGGGATGTCTGTAGTAAAAAAAAAAAAATAAGATACCCTAGTAGTTTTTAGGGACGTTTACTAGTGGCTAAGTTAAATAACTAGTTAGTATTACTAATAAGTAGTTATAAGATTATTAAATTATTACTTTTAATTATAGTGGTTTGCTCCTGCCCTGTTAGTTCTAGACTAAAAGTTAATTTTAAAATAATAATATTATTAGTACGCGAGCTTGCACGTATTTAACTAAAAGGTTACTTTAGTTTTAATAAAAATAAATTTACAGGCGCAGGGTAAGTAATTTTTTAAGCTTTTTACTTATTAATTTATATATTTTCCATTTTTTAACTAAGAAATAATAGGTTTTTTATAGCTTAGTAAAAAACTAACTAGTTAATATTCCACGCTAGGAAATAAGTGTATTAAGTAAGAAATAAAACAGCCATGTAATATATTATAAAGTTAATAAAAAATACTATTTTTAAGTTAAATTCTCTTATAAATTACTATTTAACCTATTAAAAGACCTTTAGCTAGTGGGCTAATATTACTAAAATATTATTTTATTTAGTTTAAGCCCCCTTTATGTTATCTAGGATTATTAACCATTATTTAAAAAATAAAAAAAACAAGTTTATATAAAGGTATCTATTAAAAATTAAAAAAATAAGTTATAAAAAAAGAATTAGGGAAACAAGTTTGCTAAATCTATTAGTTAATTAAAAAAAAAAAGGGGTTTTTAAAAAAAAAAAATAATAATTACTAGCTAGCTAATATATAAATAACCTTTAAAAGCTTGGGAGTTTGGTTAATCTTAATAAAAAATAACTAAATAAATAAGTAAATAATAAAGTAAATTAAATAGGGGATAAGGGTAAAAAACAAGAAAAAAAGATTTATAAGCTTTTTAAACACCAAGAATTTCTTGGTTAGTATTTACTGGCCTAACCTTAATTAGCATGCCTAATTAAGTTATTAAGTTATTTACTTAACTAGTTATATTTTTAAACATGCTACCATTATTGCAGGTTTATAATTTAAAGGGTTTATAATATTATTAGTTATTATTAAAGGCTAGTTAAGTTAAATAAAGGAAAAGGGTGTCAGGGCGGTGCCGTCGGTGGCCGACGTTAACACTAAATAATATTTAATAATTTTATATTATAATTTTATTTTATATTATAATAAATTAATTATATATTATTTATAATATTTTATATTCTTTAAGTATACTTTATTTAATAAAATTCAAAGATTTCTAAAACTTAAAAAGTTTTTATCTTATTTTACTTTAAAATACCTAAATAATAATATACTTTTTATATTATTTTATTACATAAATAACTTT